AAAGCGGATTCGGAACTGTATTTCATTCCAAGGCCTAACTTGTATCCATGTGCTTCATATTCGCCCGAAGTTAGCTCTTAGAAATATAGCCATTCCTGCCCCCTCACGTCAATCCCACGATCCTCTTATCCATTCTCATTCAATCACGGCAGGGTAGCAAATCAAAATATCAAAACTCACATTGGGTTTAGGGGATAATCAGGCTCGAACTGATGACTTCCACCACGTCAAGGTTACACTCTGCCGCTGAGTTATATCCCGACTATGGATCCCATACTACCTCCCATAAACTGAAAATTCATAACCCCAATTGCTACGGTAATACCGTTTAGTTGCCGACTGCCTATTTTAAACAGCCTTGGTTAATCCTGTCTTTCTTTGATAAGAATCGATACGATTTTTATTAGGCTCCTCCTCCGAATGAAATTTAATGTGATCCAGAGAGACCATGTCTTCATCCATAGGCCCCCATGTGCCCGGATCGATCAAATGTTTGATTTTATCTAAACTACTCATTTTCAAATGATATCCACATTGTTCACAAAGATGCATCTTTGGTTTAAAAAACTTCTTATAATTTAATCCATAATAATTTTTGCATTAAACCCACAAATGCTGGTATTGTTCAGTTACACCCATATGAGTAGAACTTTTTGATATAATTTGATCACTCGTTCCAATATCCTCATTTTGACTACTATTTCCACTTTTACTACAAATGGAACTAGAAATGTAATTGTTACTACAATTTTCATTACCACATACAATGTAACTATCAATACAGATTTGGGACTGAAGATAACTGTCAATGCAACTATTAATGTGATTATTCCAAGTATATTGAGTATCATCCATGTAATGAATGTGGTCGGGATTATTACTATTAGATCCATTATTCAGATAACTAGAATTCCGATAAAAATAACTTTCTAATTCACTACAAAAAGGATGATCACTGGCAATCTCAAAATATGATTTTCAATATCAAAATAGAAGCTACATAGTTGCGATTACTCTCTTAGTATCCTTCCCTAATCGTCGACTTTAAGTCATGGAAGAAAGAATACGGTGTGGTGTTTATTAGATAGAGGCTTACCGGGTTTGCTCTATTGGATCAACCATAGAGATTGTTTGTATTTGACAATGAAGTCTTCACTTTTGATTAGTAATTTAAACAGTTTATTGTTGCATAGATGTTTATTTTATTTTTATCCATGATTTTTAGGATTACAAAATTTCAAATATTAATTTTTTGCTTTCATTGATATTTGGATCTATAAATCGTTTATACACCAATCTTCAACATTCACCTACAATATCAACAACAACAACAACAACAATATATATATATATATATATATAGATATATATATTATATATATATATATATATTATTCACGAATACTATTCAAACCAGGAGTCTATAACGACTTTGGTGTTAGACCATACGGTATACAAGCCACGAGCCAGTCCGTGATTGAGGTGGCAACGAACCATGACCATGCACACCACCCCGGCTGGCCATGGTTGCTCTATTTCTTGGTGGTTTTTTATGCGGACCACAAGTCACAATGCTCAATGAGGGTTTCCCTTTGTTTGACCATTTGACTAGCCATTCCAACGGCTGAATTTTGAAAAAAACTAATTAAAAAAAAAACAAATTTACATAACAATTTTACCTATAAATACCAAACTTTTATCCCTCACTTCTTACATCATTCTTTTCTTTCTATATACACAAAATACGCACAACATTTTCACAACCATCAAAAATGGATCCCAACCAAAATACCCCCCCCCCTAAACTTTAGAAATCGCAAATCTGATAACGTTTTTGCGTTAGGTACCACCCATCGCCAATTTCCGTCCATGGAATCACCTCAAGGTGGTTTTTTCAATTTACATCAAACAGGTTCCCTTATCCAACAAACACCACTTTTCCAACAACAATACCAACCTTTCCTGGCCTTTCAACAACAATTCCAACAACTATTTAATCCACAATCGTCACAACCACCACCTTCACAACCGTAACAATCACAACCACCTCCTTGGTTGGATTTCATTTCAGAAACGCAACCATCGCCAACACCACAACAACCAAAAAAGAAGAAAGGAAAAAAACCGGCGCGACCCACTACTACCCAAGAAAGGATGACATGGACAGAAGTGGAAGAAGAAAAGCTAGCAGAGGCGTGGGTTTCGGTTTCCCAAGACCCAATTGAAGGAGATAATCAAACCTTCAATTGTTTTTGGAAGAAAGTTAGAAGCGTGTTTTACGCTTTAACGGGAAGTGAATCTTGAAATCCCGATCAAATTAGCTCCAAGTGGCGCCATATTCGACTAAAATGCACGGAATTTAGAGGAATATACAACAACCTACAAAACATACGCAAAAGCAGGTCAAACGATTTTGATGTCTTCAAGGCGACCTTGGTACAATTTGAAAAAACAACGTCGACCTGCATAGTTTTTCCGTATGTGAAAGTGTGGCTAAAATTGAAAGACGCTCCAAAGTGGATACAACAAACGGAAAGAACTTCACAAACCTCTTCTGGTTCAAAGCGTTCAAGAAACCCTGATGCAACTTCCCGACAATCGGACGGGCGAACACACATCGACATCAACAATGATCCGCTCGATCTTGAAAATGAACAACCACTTCGTCGGCCTGATGGAAGAAGTAAAGCAATAAAAAAATATTGGCTCGACGTCTACGGAATCTAGTATTATGGATAATTTTGGAGACAAATTTGATCGATATGTGCAAGTTCAACAGAATAATGCTGAGATAATGAATCGGGTGGAAAAAAATGATTGAAGCACAAACGTCATTTCAAGAGGCACAAGCGACGCTTCAAACAAAAACCGATATGGAAATCTTGAAAATAAAAGCGGACGACCTCGAAGGCGAAGATTTGGAGTTTTTCTCGCGATGAAGAGTCCGTTCGAACCCAAAATAGGAATATGGTGTATTTTATTTTAGTTATGTTTGGTAATTTTAGGTTTTTTATTTTTATTGTTATTTTTATTTTAATTAATGTAATTTTTTTTAATGTAATGTGATATTTTAATTTAATTTTGTTTAATGTAATGTGGACCCCAACAATTTCTCAAGTGTCTTAAGTTGTCTTTTTTCAAATACCACAAATGCCACCAATCTAAGGATTACGGATCCTTCTTTGTTGATAAGGTCTAATGATTCACATGAATATGCCCGTTGTAAGTCAATATGATATATAGAGTCACCACGAATTGTTATTAGTTTCCTAAAATGATTTCTCATAAGATAGTGTGGACATTCAAGTTAAAAGTTAAATCCAGATGGAGAGGATATCTCAAGACTCAAGGTAATCAACCAAAGATCACAAGAGATATTCATGTTGTTTCATTATGAAGGGGTATGAGCTACGGAACTTTGGCTTTATCCTTAGAAACATAGGTACGGTGGGTAAGTACACCACTACTCACAAAATATAATACTTGAAAACCCGAATAATTGTGTTATTTAACTCACGTTTTGGTTATTTAAAGTTTAAAGAAATAGATATAAAACAATCAGTGTACCTTATTTAACTATATATACTTTCCCTTTGTTCATGTACAAAAAAAAGTCACAATATGTATTATTTACCTTATGATATTTAATCACTACAAAATATGAGTCTTCGAGTTACAAATAACGTATATATTAAGGAGGGAAATGAAGGTATACAATGAAACAAAAGTGATCAATGTCAAAGTGAATTAAGCAACTAACTATGATGACATATCTGTAATTCAAGTTAAACAAGTAAGTCGTTGTAGTATAGTGGTAAGTATTCCCGCCTGTCACGCGGGTGACCCGGGTTCGATCCCCGGCAACGGCGTTTTTTAATTTCTACGCATTAGACAATTAAAACATAGAGATGTTCATGATTCAGTCCAAAATAAACTTAGTTTTCCTTTTTTTTTTTTTTTTTTTTTTTTTTTTTAATTTCGTTTGAAACCCCCATAAACGTTATTGACAATGAACACCAGTCTGCATAAAACTCCATTATTGATGCTCTAAGTTTGTGCATATCAAATCTTTATTTCTTTAGAAATCATGTAACTAGAATTATAAGCTTAAATAATCCAAAAAAAAATAATAATAACTATATGTATTGAACTATATATTATGATAATAGATGGATATAATAATTACTATAGAAGAATAGTGCATTTAAGTTTTTAACGGGTTAAAAGAAAGATGGGTGACATAATAATTACTAACATCTTATGTTGCTTTGTCCAGCACTTTTGTATCGGGTTCACCTTCATAATCCCAGAAGGGTATTTTGGACAATTCACATCTCATTGGTCAGAAAATGATAACGGGCATCTTTGATTGAGTGTATGCAGCATTAAAAGATACACGCAAAGCACATATACCTACATACTCAATCTCCTTAATACAGCATGGTCTAAAAGGTTCTGGTTTGGACTGAAACCGATATTAAAAAGACAAAAATTGTAAAAGAAGGGACATTGACTTACTCTCGATATCTCATCTATGCAAAAGACAAAAATACCCTCGTCCAGAGTCTCATATAAAAAATGCCACATTAGAGACCATTCCAAGGATAAGACTTTTAGCATCCTAACTTATACATGCTAGATTACAATATCAAACACAAACCAAAAATTCTTCAAAAAAGTAGCAAAAATCATCTTTCTTTCTATTAATTTATGGCCTCAACTCCACAACAGATTGTACATCAAGTTCAATACAACTATGAGTAAATTTGCATCATCTGTCATACCACAACAATCAAGAAACAATGTATCTAACTCTAATCCAAAACAAAAACACCCCAAAAGGGACATTTTCTCATCAAAGATCATAAATTTCCAAGCTTTTCCATGCTAACAACTTCATCCACCTCCATTAACCAATTCATAAAGCTATAAATTCAATACCCCATTTATATATTCTCCCCTTAATCATACATTTCACTAACTTTTTTTCTCCCAATAAACTATTGATCAACCCCACCTACAGGTGAAACAGTCAATGCCTCTAAAACCGATTGACATTCTACACTTGAACCATTTTCCAAACTGTAAGACTTGCAACTGAAGTAGAAAACAGTACTCATCATAAAATTAATGAGCACCACAAAACTATACATGATAACTAAAAGTGGTCCTTCCCATATCCTCGAAGACCCATCTCCATAGCTTAAAGTTTTCACACGATGCTCAAATAATCCCTCAATAAAAGCCATTCCGATTGTGGATCCAAGAAATATCATCAATCCAACTTGAGTTTGACCCCTGATTAGAACAGTAGATCTTAGTATCGCTTCAGACCCTGAAATGTCTTCCAATACTGAAATCACCATGGAAAGATCGCAAATGATGATGGCGTTTGCGAAGAACACTGAGAAAAATAACCCGAATATGATAGCAGAGTAGGCGATTAGATTTGGGGAGAATCCGATTACAGAGAGTAAGCTGCTGACGCCAATGAGTAGAACGAGAAATGAAGTTAAGCAGCCGACTATTACAGTGCATACTAACAAGTATGTGGAGACGATTCGTTTCCAGATCTTCCGTAAGATGAGATAGAATTTGGAGGAATCGAACATTTTTCGTGAGTAAGTGCAATCGACAGAGTAGACAACAGCCGCTTTTGAAATCAATAACAATGTGACGTATAAAGGGAAACACATTGTGGTTGAGATGGCCATTTCCGAGAATTTTTGGCAAGAGTGTTCGACGAAAGGTCTTAGAGGAAGGCCACTTGATTTTGAAACTAACAAGAATCTGATAGCAAGTCTTTTGACGATGGATGGATCGACTAAGACATTTGATAAAAGAACAGCTGAAACAGGACAGATTAGTAACGCCCCAATTACCATGAACCCACTGAGATTATACCTTAGAATCCTTACTGTTTCTCTCAAGATTTCTAAAGCACTAGTTGATTGAAAGACGTGATCTGATCGAGTAACATTGTTGGGTAAGTCTTGTTCGAAGGGTTGAAGATCTGGGGTTTCTTTGTGTACTGCGATTGTGCTGAGCCTAGGGCTTGGTCCTTGTGGGGGTTCCATGATTGAACCAAAAAAGAGACCCAATTTGTGAAAACTCAACACAGAAAAATGAATCGCATGGTAATGAAGGTTTAAATCAAGCTGATTGCATCTGGGTTTTGTGGCATACCTGATGGGAATGATCTGTGTGGATAAATATGTGTGTAGAGGGAGTGTTTATCGATGGATTTTGGTGAGGACCGATCTGGGAACTGTGAAGACGAGAAGGTGGAATCACGTGAGAAGGGGGTGTATCTCATGAAGATCGATAGAGTGAGATTGGAAAGGTCATGAAGAGAGAGATGTGTGTCGATTTGAAGAATGATTGGGAACGAAGGAAGGAGATGCGCGTCGGTGTCTTTGACTTTCGTGTGTGTTTGGGCTTGCCTAGGTTCTCGTGTGTAATGGAATGTGTACTTTAATTTTTATGGTATGTGACAAGGTTTTTTTTAAATTTTAGGGTGTGTACTTTGTAAATTGCAAAATGGTTAATATGTTTTTTAATATTTAAAAACTATGTGTAAAACCCGTGAATTATATGAGTTGATTAAAAAAAATTAAATATCAAAATGTAAACAATAACTATTTTTTAAAATAAAATTTTGAAATAAGAAATAAAAAAACATATTAATTGCAATTTAGTATCACATTTATTACATTTATACTTACATATAGTATAAATATAAATATTATATGACTTTTTAATTTAAAAAATTTTAAAAAATCAAAAATTTACATGTGGATATTATTTATTTCAAAATTATTAAAAAATGACAAGTGTCAAAAACATGAGAGATTGACATGTGGCAAAATAAATTTCCATTTATTATAGTAGACTAGATGTAAGACCCGTATAGTACACGGATTTATTAAAAATAAAAGTTAATATAAAGTTTAAACATTATGTATTTTTAAAAATAATATTTTTACATAAATAAAAATGATATAATAATGAATAAAGTAAGTAATTCAATATATACTAATAAAAAAACATTGATATATTTTAAAGAATGATGTTGAAAATTAATGTGTAAACATTAAACATTTTTTTAAAGTAAACTTTCAAAATAAATACAAACGTAATGATAATAAGTAAATAGTTTATATGTATACTAATAAAAAAACCATTGACATATTGATATGGTGGACATAACATTGAATTTTTTTTATCTAACTATAATTTTATATGTATGTGTTTGTCTTTAGGTTCGTTAGAATCTATATTATGTTTTTATCTTTAAACAATAATAAATCCAAAAATAAAATTATGTTGAAAAAATGTTATCAAAATTTAAAAGTTCAATTATTAAAATGGAGACATTATAAATTTAAATGTGTAGCTATATAAAAATATTGTTAATCATTACACATTTTACTAGACTTGAGTTTAGTAAAATGTAAGTTCACATTTTATTCATTGTTTCTATATATATTACATGTATAAAATATAAAATATATATACTACTTAATTGTCATATAACGTATAAAAAAAGATATTATATATAGATAAAATACTTTGGTATTTTCTTAAATATATTTAGAAAAATATAGGAAGATATATGTATATATAGGTAAATATAAATTTATATTGAAATAAAAAAAACATTTACCTAAATACATGATTTAAAAATGCATAATACTAATCTCTAAATGTGGATTAAGTACGTACCATATATAAGCTAGGGGTGTGCGTGGTGCGGTTTGGTGCGGTTTAAAGTCGAAACCGCAAACCGCACCGCATATGCGGTTTGAGTTTTTTTGAAACCGCAAACCGCACCGTAGAAGTTCAAAACCGCGTTATGCGGTGCGGTTTGTTGTGGGCGGTTTGTGCGGTTTAAGTGCGGTTTTACGGTTTGATGAGTTGCTACATTTTATAACTTTTGAAAAATCTAAAAAACCTTTTGATCTTTTGAGATATAAAACTAGAAACTAGAAATGTTTTGCAAAAAACTCAAAAACAAGTTGCTTTCTGTAATACGTTTGTTAACTAATTCCTATTATATGACTATATTCACTAATTTAAGGCTAATTAACATATCCATATTTATCCATACCAACATTCTAACTGTTACGAACTTGTAATCAAACAATTATTACTATTTTATTAATCCTAGTGATGAAAAAAATACACTTTCTTATATATATATATATATATATATATATATATATATATATATGCGGTGCGGTTTAAACCGCAACTTTGTAATTGAAAACCACAAACTGCACCGCATAGTGCGGTTTAACGATATAACAAACTGCAAACCGCACCGCAAAAGTTTTAAACTGTATTATGTGGTGCGGTGTGGTGCGGTGCGGGCGGTTTATGCGGTTTGTGTGGTTTGGTGCACACCCCTAATATAAACCTTACTAAGAAAAGAAATGGCTAGAATATTTATTCTCAAGATTAATAGAATTAATGTATCTACCATATATTAATCCTACTAAAAAGTGGATTTTAAATTTTAAGAAAATGAAAAATAAGAAAATGACAAGTGGAAAAAATAAAATCAAAAAATCTTAGAAAAATGACATGTGTCAAATGTAATGAGAAGAAGACATGTGGCAAAATCATTTTCATTTATTAGGATAGATTTTGACAAATATAACTATTTTTTTATCTTATTTCTAAAAATTAACAAAAATGGTTTATTTTTCAAAAATAACCATCAATTTCATATTTTTGGCATGCCCTCTAGGAACTCCACATATATTTAAGTTGGAATTTTGTTTATATCCAGTGGTGGTTTTAGTATATGACACACAATGGCCCTTGCAACCCATGACTTTTTCAGACGCATTGTAAAAATTTTCGAAGTTTTTCGAATTTTTTTCTACTATTGTGCAAGCCTTCAATTTCTCGTGCAACCTCTACTATGAAATCATGTGTCTGCCTCTATTTATATCCTTATAAACTTTAATAATTACGTTTATATCTTTGTAAAACTTTAAATTACATGTATATCCTTATAAAAACTATAAACTCATATATATACCCAAATATTGAATTTAATCATAATTGATATATTTAAAAATTTTAAAAATTTATATTTAAACTAGATTATAACTAAATTAATAAAACACATATTTACATTCATTCTTATAATCGATCTCTTTATTCACGACCATATTATTTTCCAATTCATATTTTGTATATTCGATTAGCAAAATCAGGTGATTGCATATTCCTAATCGATCGCTAAACAATGTATTTCATTTCCTACAATCGATTTAGGAGACATGCAGTTATTCTCTTTTAAATAGTTTTGTTCTTCCTCTGGTTCTTTTGAACTGAAGACTTCAGTTGCAGGTAAACTCACCGAAAAACTAATTTTAATGTGGGTGTGAATATATTGTAAAGATTCATGAAGTAATATGTCAAGAATAAAAATGTGGGAGAATGTAATATAGTAGCGTTACAAGTTAATTATTTTCTTAATAATAAAAAAATCAATTTAAAAATAGTGTTTTTTTTAATAAATTAAATATAATTAAATTATGTATTTGAGTTGCTTTTTCTTTCCCTATAATCCAAAAGAAATTAATTGAAGCCGCGGGGCCCTATCCATTTATTAATTCGACCCAACTTGAAATTGACTTCGGTTTGCTCCCTTTCACTAATTTAAAGAATGTTTTGTACCGAGCCGGAATAAATTATTCTCAAAACTCTTAATTGATACGACATGCTATTTTTTCCGTTCATTCCCTTTCAGGATCAGTCGTGGTCTTCCAAACTTGACCGATGGTATGGATGAATCCCTCGCTTCATATATATATATATATATATATATATATATATATATATATATAGGGGAGGGTTCATGCGAAAAAGCAAATAATTTGCGAAAACGCAAAAACAAGAAAAATCTATGAGATTGTGCCACCTCAACATTATATTTTGGACAATAATTCATCCAAACTTTGAAATACATGATGATAATCAATAATAAATAATAGATGAGAAATTGTTTCATATTAGCAAAGTATGATTTTTGACATTTTTATTATGAAAAAGTGAATTTAAAAATGGTTAAGGACGTGAAAAAAAAGTAATTATTAAAAACGTTTTTAAATCTATATTATCATAACACAATCCAATGTAAACTTATTATCTTTAATTTAGTGCTAATAAATTTATTTTTTATAGTACATGTGTTTGATTTTTATAAGATAAAATATGTTTTCGTGTTTTCGCAAGATATTTATGTTTTCGCATTAACCTACTTTTATATATATATATATATATATATACCAATTTTCATATTTTTGTTTTCCAATCCACAGAAGCTTCTCTGCGAACTCATTAATGAAGAACGAATCTACAAAAGCTTATATGTGAAATCAATATATTCGTACTACGGACTCAATACAAAAGTACAAAAAAATAATGATAAATCATAATCTGTACGGTAGTAATTATGACTTTTTTTCTCATATAAAATGGTAGAATTAAAAAAAATCGTTTGAAAAAAATTCAAATAAAATTCATCTATGATTTACAAAAAATATGAACGAACTCTTTGGTATTGTTTGTATGGGAGAGTCTTGGAAAAACAGTAGATAAAGAAAACGCATATGTTAGGTCATTAATTACATACTTCAATGTGCGCATGCATATATATATATATATATATATATATATATATATATATATATATATATATATATATATATATATATATATATTCCAATAGATATTAATTATGTGGGGTTGATAAAATTGATTAAAGTGAAGACAGATCATATAGATAATAGTATTATTAAGTTGTAATTCTAACATCTAGAATATAGGTATGTTATGGATGTAGTTTATGAGAATGATGTAAGACATATGAAAAATGTTAGTGCTAATAAGACATTGTTGTGTATATGTGTTTTGGTGATGGTTGGTGATGTTCAAGAAAAAATAGTGGTGAATCAATTAAATGTTGGCGGCGATAAACTAATGATCAAAACCTCTAAAATGGAAGAATATGATCCAGCAGAAACCATTCCAGTGAAAGAGGAAGCAACAATTTAGTGGG